TTTCAATCTATATTTGTTATTTTAAAAGTAATATATATAGGTTTATGTAATAAGTAACATAATATTGCACATGCTGAAGTTGTAAAACATATTTTAAATAAACTTATATATAATTTCTTGTATTTACACATTTGTAAATTCAGAGAACAAAGAATAAATAAACTAAAGTCTGTAGAGAAACAGATTTGATACGAAACTAAATTCTGTCAAAATGCACAACCGGAAATCATCTGCTTCTCATCCAGCCTAGAGTAAAATGGCGCGTAATTACTGCTAATTGATGGCGTGAGAGATTGTTGACACAAGTGATGAGCGTTCAGAAATTTAACGAACGGGCAAAATGTTTGCTGCACTTGTCAGTACAAAATTCGACATTATTGAATGTTTATTATGAAAACAACTTACGGTGTAATGTTTCTATCATGTTGTGGAGGTTTTAAGACATTTTGATCTGTAAAAATAATACTCATCAATGGGGAAGCCTTTTTTTTCTTCCGTCATATTATATTCAGCCAAACTTTAGAATTGTTATATACATTTGTTTTGGTAAGCGCAGTTGACAGTTCTCGCTATAATAGTTTAAATATAGTTAACGTAAAATGAATATATTGAGAATTTCAATCAAATTACACTATTCTGAAGGAGGTTATCAGGGCTTGAAGTTTTTGATAAGAATTGCGTATATATAGTCTCGATTTTCATTTCTACCAGTGTCACGATAAAAAACAAAGTCTCGATTATCCATTTTTAAATTAAATTATTAAATGGCCATCGTGTTTCAATCAAATAAAAATCATTATGGGCTTATCGCGTGAAAAAACTTCTAATTAATAATTTAAATAACATTTGAGGTCAAAAGAGAGACCTGAAATGGCCAGATTTAGCTCTTACATACTGTGTGTTTAATCTTTTAGGGTTTACATATATGATAGAATTATACATCCATTGTTTACTGATAAGACATTAATTATTAATCACTAGATTTGATTTGTAATTTATTATACCATACATGATAACGCAATTAGTTATTAACAATTATTCTATACTGTTTCGTGTATAAAATAACTCATCATAAGCTTTGTCGTTATATTTCTTTCTTGTGCAAGATGTGAGATAAGAAATATACTTTATTTTTGGCAGATAGGGTTTCATAATTGAGGTATGTCAGGCTTAGAGTTTTTATTACTGTAATATAGATTGTCCATATCCACTGGGGAAGGCGAAAAATATGAACTTTTGTATAACTAGTAAGAAAAAACAATCAAGAAAAATATTTTATATAATCATAAAATGAACAGATAGAAATACGTATGTTTCCATCTACATCACTAATCCCTCTCCGTCATGACCGCCATGCTAGTTTATTTTCCGTTTATTGGACACGTTTATGAAAATACATTATTTTTGCATTTGAACAACTCAAATATAATAATTTAATGTACTGGACATGATATTATAGACTTTTCGAGATAAGAAATCTTCAGAATTTTGAACACTGTGTTTCTAGATCGAATTTGGAATACAAGCCTTTTCAGTTTACGCTTAGCTTCAAAATCTTTATGTTAGAACTGTATGTAGCTTAGTTACAAACCGACCAATATATCGATCATATTAAAAACCTTAAACGCTCATGCTGTATTTGATCTGTCATATTATATGGAATAAGATAGTTGTCTGAGCCCGGGAGACCTAATAATACGATTCAAAATAGGAATCTATATTCCCTTAATTCAAACATATCCTTTGTACTCAGCTAAACAATTCGCCAAATTGGACAATAATACACAAAAAAATAAACAAATTATACTAAAATTATAGATTTTCCACTGGAACAGAAAAGTGAAACGAGATTGTCTCCAGTGAAATCGACGACTAATGCAGATTGATTGACAGGCAATACCCTGAGAGACGCGTGCGCATTATAACTCATGCGAATCAATTACTATAAAATGTCTATTATTTTATAGTAAGTCAACTGAGTAATATCTGCTTCACCAACCAGTTGAAAATAATTCTAAAGCCAACAATGTTCTTCGATTAGCTACGAAATTAGAATTTATGAAAAATATGATAAGCAATTCCAGCTAGTCCGAGTGCATATACTTATAATTATAATGATTGCATTAGCACATAAGATGTTTTGACTTTTATGTCATTGTTTTATAATGTTTTTGCTAATATTTAAAGCACGCACCCTGAAAAGAACACTGCATATGTCTTTAAACATCTTGAAAATTAAATCTGAATGGGTCGTGAGTTAATTAAGAAATTAAGGTTGGTCTCAAGAAACCTAAGAAGTCAAGATGATTGTTAATGTTTTTTAATAGCTTTGCAATGTTTCTTGTTCAACATAAAGATTGTGGGTACTTGGCGAGTAAAGCAATGGATTTTATAAGGTCTCTAAATATATTTATTTCTCTTTCTTTTTTGTAAAAGATTTTTCACGCTCGATCACGTTGTTCTTTAGATTTTTTTCAAGCCATAAATTTTTCTTTCCACACCACCGAAGCAGTGAACACAATGAGATCAACGTGTAATAATGTATATGCAAGGGTTATTATTAGTTTTATATACATATACATGTAGCATAGCTTGTTGTTTTGGTGCATATTTTGACTTTGAAGTGCTATTGTTTTAAAAGTTAATAACAGTGGAAAAACACTATTTATTTGTCGGTTTGAAGGAATGAAACTTAAATTTCCCTTTTCAATTTTTTCTTAAAGATTGCGTCGGAACCCATGTTGTTATGGTGGATGGCCCAATTTTCTTTCTTTTTCTCCAGAATTAAGGGTTGTATCACAAATTATTGAAAGTCAACCATGACCTATTTTATAAATATATGTAATAAACAGATTGTTAAACATTTAAATCGGCATTAAAGTTATTTGTTGTTTTTGTATTTTAAAGTCTAGCGAAATAGGTATAAATCTTTGAGCGCTTTCAGAATTGTCATCATCATAGACAATTTAAAATATTATTGATTTCGTTACGGGTTATGTAAAAAAAATGAAATAAAGGAAGGTATTAATGTGAATAATTTATATATACATTATATGTATATAAATATAGGTTTTTGTCTTCTTTCTGTATATAAATAATGATATTGACGTCCAAACAATGCGGATTTCAACAGATTAATAGAATTGTGATAACTTAGACGAACTATTTGCATAAATATTTTGAAAGCTATTTAGCACTAATTTACCCAACGAAAAATACAATTCAGTATATTTTTATATCTGATATCAACCCATATAAAAAGCAAATCATTCCTAAATCTTCATTGTTTCTGTTTTCATCAAGGTCGTCTCAGATTAATGTTTTCTCGAATTTAGCGTTTAAAGCGGTATTAGATAACAAAGGCACAAACGATTCATTTTAGACATGAAGATTTTAAAGTTGCCCGCGGGGACGTAAAGGGAAATTATTATGAATCAATGGTATGACTAGACAAAGCTATATGAAAATATTATATCTTGTAATAATCTTTTATACAACTCAATAATTAGAGACACAAATCTAATCAGTACAATTTTATATGACACGTTTACGATGAACAAGTAGCAATGGTCGTTTAGCTAATCTGACAATACTTGTCTAATTATTTACTCGCTTTTCTTTACCCTCGCCTTCATCCATTCTATGATGATTGTGTTATAGGAAAATGGGATGAACATGGTTAGATTGCGGTCAACAATTGCACAAACTCGGGAGTATTAACTTGAGTAAAATTAACGCGAGAAAGCGCTCGGATTTTCAGCATCTTAGCCCCAGGCCACTGTTGATCAAATTTACCAAAGAGCGTAAATTTGTCCGTATTTCTTATTAATTTTGACGCATAATTTTCTCAATATGACAACATATCTGTAAAGCGGGTCTTGGAGGATTTATGAATTTTGAAAGTCTGAGCCAGTTAATCAGATTTAAAACTCAGCCATTCAGTTGAACAACTTGGAGTAGATTCTATCCTAATGTAATTCTGCTAATAGGTACCAAGATTTCTGCTAATGATATAAACGCTTTAGAAGTAATTTTATATTGGTTTAATATTTCACAGAAATATAGTGATTTAATGTGATTATGGGCTTTTCAAGTAGAGTATCTTTAATTCAGAATGATAATAATTGAAATAATACTATATATATTTGTAAATTATTATCCACATACATTGGTGTCCATTTTGATAAAAATTACCAGGAACATAAATTTATTAATTTTTAAAACAAAAGTAAACAAAGCAAATTTTATTTTTTGATGAATGTTTATCTTCTGTGTTTTATATTTTTTTATTGTTTTTAATTCGTCTTCGTTTTATCTTCTGTTTTTATTGTTTTTGATTCGACACTGGCCTTTTTGTTATAAGTTTTATTAAATATAGATCTAATGCTTAGAATATGCCTACATTTATAATGAGCAGAATATCTTCCCAAAAGAAATAACATCTCTCATACTTACTGACAATATAATAAAATGCAAATACGTGTCTAACCAAAAATCAAAACTGTGTTTGCTGTCAATACAAGGCTAAGAGTTCTTTGACTTTTCATGGCGTATAGACACTACCATAACAGACCGTCTAGTTTATTTCTCTATACAGAAAAGGTCAGACCCAAATAAAGTTGAGATAGTCACTACATTAATAACAGCTCTACTTTCACATGAAATACAGATCGCTAAGCGAAACGCCTCGCTTAAAAAAAATATTATATACCGCCATCCGATAATTATAATAATAATAATAATAGTCTCACTATAGCCGTCTGATTGACAGATATTCTCATGATTGACAGGGTTGCCGTGACAACTAAGTGTCCCGCATCACCATCGACCAATCAGAAGGCGGATAAATCACAATATTACTACAGGATGAACGTCGTCGTCTGATCAACAAGCTCCGCCCCTATAATCAAATTCTAACGCTATCGTTAAACGTAACCACTCCCCAAAATGTCTATTTATAATTGTATCGGTGATAAATGAAGAAGTAGTTTTATCGAGAAAATAAGAGAGACTTCATCTATACGAGCAGATAAGAGAGGATTGCGATATTAATATCCAGCATCATGTTTGGGTTGTGTGGCGTTGATACCCCTCTTCCCGCCATGTTCCCCCTTCCTACTCTACACTTTACTCCACAGCAAGTAGCCAAAGTGTGTGAAACTTTAGAAGAAAGTGGTGATATTGAAAGACTTGGACGTTTTTTGTGGTCCCTACCCGTCAATCCGTCAGCTATGGAAGCTTTGAACAAACACGAATCTATTTTAAGGGCTCGATCTTTGGTGAGTTTTCACACTGGAAACTTCAGAGACTTATATCATATACTGGAACATCATAAATTTACTAAAGAATCACACGCGAAACTTCAAGCCATGTGGTTAGAGGCTCACTATCAAGAGGCGGAAAAATTACGAGGTAGACCCCTCGGTCCAGTCGACAAATACAGAGTTCGAAAGAAGTACCCTCTCCCCAGAACTATCTGGGATGGGGAACAAAAGACTCATTGTTTTAAAGAGAGAACGAGGAATCTGTTACGGGAATGGTACCTACAAGATCCCTACCCTAATCCAACAAAGAAGCGAGAACTGGCCCAAGCAACAGGGCTTACCCCAACACAAGTAGGAAATTGGTTTAAAAATAGAAGACAAAGAGACAGAGCAGCAGCAACAAAAAATAGGTAAATATGAATTATAATTTTCTCTTTTTAATTTAGTTTTGTTTAATGTATGTTATTATAATATTTATTGCTGCCATTGTCATTTTATTTACATTTCTACCCAGTAAACAATGACGACAACAAACTTATTTATCCGTGCATTATAATAGTGTACTTTCTATTAGTAAAACCATGAACACGATTGTTTATAATTTTAAATGTACTAACTAAAATAATCGCCCACTCTTATACATTTTCATTATTTAATTTGCCTACATATTTATAAAACATTTAGGCGATAGAAACTCCACTAAATATTCGGGGAACAAAATTTCAGTAAATAATTGTGTTGGTTTTCTTTTTGTGGATAATAGTGTATGTATGTTTGCATCAAAAATCTACAAACAAAAACCATTTATGTTTTACCAATGATATAAATATTAAAAAAAGAAACTACACAAACAATTGGATTTTATATTGATTAAAGAAATAAATAAACCTTTTACGCGATGTCACAATCTGGCCGAAAGGAAATCTGATAATATGCAGACACGAGACATCCCGATAACTAAATTATCGTAATATGCCGAAATATTCAAAAACGGAAAATAGAAATTACACCATACCATTTAGAAAACGAGAAAAAAAAAATCGCCCGCGGGTTTATTTATATAGATCGCTAGATAAATTGTTGCTTGTTGTCAATTTTACGCTACGGATAATAAAAGAAATGTACCGAAATCGTTTAAAATATGTTTGAACGTTTGGGTGGAGTATTTGTGCATTTACAAGGAAAACACTGTTGTGTTACAATCAGATTGTTATAGTTTATGTTCACGTAAATGATTTTAAAATATAAATATGCTTCATCATTTCCTTTGTGTATAATCATCACCATGTCGATTTTAAAATAGTTTCTTCTTTTAAATCTAATATATCTAAAGAAAGTCTGTTATACATATAAATAAAGGACTATTACATATACTCGTGGGAGATTTATCTGTTGCAATGGCATTTATATGACGACAGATTACAGCCATTTCTATTATATAAAATACTTAACAATACATATTCATCTCATTTTCACCATTCACACTCTTTTCTGATCAATATTAACATGAATGACCATTCAATATTTTTTACAATATACGAATGAAGTAAAGATATTATTGTGACAAATATAATTTATCAATTTCTCCGACGACCTCACACTATTTTTTTTTTAATATTTTATCTTTGTTGCAAAATACAAATACATACATGTAAATAGCAGCGTTTCCAAGTTCTGTATTAAGCTTCAAAATCTGTTGACTAATTTCAAGCTAAAGGTACTTGAATTTTGTTTTGTCTGTCGAAAATTATAATGATCATTATTATGTTTATATTTAATTGCTTATTATCGCAATGGACGAACGTTACAGAATATTTACAAATAGCAATAATTCCCCGGCATCTGAGACAAACTAATCGAAAAAGAAAGTATTTATGGCTATATAGGATATAATATAAAACTAACAATTATTTTATTTGGTAAAATATTTTCCTAACATTATCTCAGTAATATTTATAAAACCCTGTTGAAAATTTATAATCATAAATTTTTAGAATTTATATTTTCAGTTGTTTTTCCTTTCGAGAATATAATAACAAATAATTTATTTTTTTACAATTGCTTTTTTTATTGCTTAAAATCTTTGGAATTTAATACACGATGTTGCTGTGTATATTCATGTAGAAATACTATTAAAGTAAACAGCCTTCGACGTCAGAATATACAAAATAATTCTTCAAAATGATTGAAATATTGATCTGAAAATATAATTTTTAATATAAAAACTGCAATAAAAGACTGAAATTAATAAAAAAGTACTCTAATTATAAGTGATAAAATACCCGAAGGTTAATACGAATCCCTTTCTGAAAATACACACTTAAGATAATATGTATGTCTTTTTTATACCTACATATATATACTTTTACTTTACCAGCTTTATTCTATATTTGTTATCAGGATTTATCTTATTATGCACTCGTGGTAAACAAGCCCACTAGATTTTTTTAAAGCAGGGGTTTATGTATAAGATATGTCTTTAAAATTGACACCGTAAGAACACTTAAGAAGCAGTAAGAAGAGTCAATAAAGGCCAGATGATAAATGAACAGACTGATACATACATGTAGGTTTTTTAAATTAACAGTTTTCAGTTGTCAAATTCGCCAGTAAATAACATACTATAAGCGTATTGAAATATATACTGTATCAGAGTATAATTAACTACCTTTATCTTGACTAACAAATTCTTAAATATTTAGGCAAGTAAAGAATTTGAGGCATATTATGTAACTTAAAGGGGAATCTTTCGTTTTCGGTTATGACCAAGAGAAACTTGCACTGAAAATGTTAGCTCATCTTTCGTTTACAATCCATTCAATTCCCCGTTATTGCTTGTAAACATGAATGGGAATCGGAGAAAATTAACTGATCAATAAGAAAACCAAACATAATTATAAAATTATTATTATATATGTCCTAATTTGGCTAGTAACAATTGTAGATTTTTAATAGATTATAATTCGTTAAAGTGCGAACTAAAATTTCTACCCACTTTTCCAAAGAGTATGGTGGTACTGTAGACCAGAAAAAAAAGAGATGAAAACAAATAGAGCATTAAATTATTATTCAAAATAATCAATAAAATCAAGAACGGTATGAGATGCTTTTATTTTATCATATTCATTCTTGGTCTGGGGTTTTCAGTCTCTTATTAACTTCACCAAAGGTTGCGTAATGGGGAAAAGCATGTTTACATAGTATTCTTAACCTTTAACGAAGAGTTTAACCTTTGGATATGCTAACAAGAAGGAATATTATGTATGTGACTTCTTTTAACACCATAACTGTGATGGTGTCACATCTGATAATGTAATAGGTTTTAACGTTGTTTTGCTGTTATGTTATATCTGGTTCAACATAGTTAGACATATATATATCTTATTTTAGCAGTTAATATCTGATATTGAATAGTTAAATATTATAAAACACTGAACATAATACACTATTATACAACTGCTCGAGATTTGCAATGTAACGCAGAAACCAGTAACCGGAAACTAAAAGTTTTTAAAAATATAAATCTAAACATACATGGCCAAAACAAAAGAATGTCACCAAGTTGGATTTACTTTTTAAATTGATAAACGTCTATAAAAGTTTGAAGAAAAAGAAAATCCAATGTTGATCTTTTTAAATCATTATATTTCATTAACTCCCAATTAAGATGACGTGTGCAGGGTAATAGTATATAATTTAGTAATTTGATATTACAAGTCAACTCGTCACGTTAAGTAATAAATCTGTTGATAAAGTGATTAGAAACTTCTTTATTTTCCTGTCAGTGCTTCACACATATTAATCTCTAAAGTTAATAACGTTTATACACAACTTGTGCTGTCTATGACAAGACAGCGTGAGAAAGGATTAAGATTAAGACGATAGGTGATCAAGGCTTAATCTCTTATCAACAAATTTTATCGATACTTTGCACCCGTTATCAAAATTCTAATAAAAATTTGGCTAATTTGACGTCTCGTTTAAATCGTTCCCTGCCTATACAAGCACATATGGTTTAATTTAAGCGATAAAATATCGAAACACCTTTTATATGAACTAGCTAATAAAGTTTGTAAATTCGTGTAAACATTCTTACTATATCTTTATCATATATACTCTTAGAGTCTCTACAGATAACAATTTATTGTTGGAATAGCATAATATTATGTATATAGAGATGTGAAACATACAATTTCTAACTTTATTTTCGTAACCAAATGCTTTCCTTTTCCAAAACGAAAATGTGTTACATCAAAATTAATTTATTTGTGAAAAGACGTACATGGGTATAGATTTATTATGAATTTACAAGAACGAGAGAGATAAAAAAAAATGTAGTTATTTTCATGTTTAAAAAGATGCTGATTTTAAATATTTATTATCTATAGGACGTTAAGGGAATACAACTTTATATATCATATCACATGTGTCATGCTATATCATACCCGACAGAATTATATACAATAATATATTCAATAGGAGGGTAAGGGGAATACCACTTTATTTGTCTCTCTCACATGTGTCATGCTATATCATACCAGACAACATTATATACAATAATTTATTCTATATAAAACAAAAGACTTATGACATATTATTGACACGAATCATTTTTACTCTTTTCTAAATGTTAAATAATTTAGTTAGGACGACGGGCGGTCATTTCCAGAATTATTTCAACGCGTATTGGATCATAATGAAAACATTACATGCCTCGTAGCCAGCTGAAATCTCACAACGAGAGAATGCATAAAGGAAGCCATTAACCACGTCGAGGAGAGCGATCTTCACAACACGAAGCACACAGTTTGACCCAGAGCAACAACACAAGAGAAAAATATTATTTTGATGAGATTGGGGGGACAATAATGATTACGTGACAAAGCTCAACCTTTATAAACACAACAAATAAACACTCACTTACAAATCACAATAATATCCCCTTTAAATTCTACATTAAATTCATTTGAACTGACTGTTTCCTAAACTTTCGCGCTTGGTGGCTCTGAATAGGTCTTTAACGAAGGGAGCTCTCGAAAAAACCCTTGAAGATCTCTTTAGATGGTACTATTTGTTCAGTGGGCTCGCTAGAACCAGTGTTCAATCGAACTCGAGTAGTTTTTGTGTGTTGTCAATTACAGGCAAATATAAGACAAGTTCGGCAATAAATTTCGAAATCAGATCTCTTATGAAAACGTTCGATTTCGCTTGTTGAAACGGTCATAACGTGTAATTGAGACGAGGTTTGTCAGGGTGGTATATTATTAGCATGTTTGTTCGTTAAATCAACATTATACACAATAAAATCATCTTTAACGAAGCTAGATAGTAATGGGGTTCTTCACTAAGACCCTCGGTCAAGTGGGGTTTGGGGGTATAATTGTAATGATATGTAATTTATCCTATAAAAGTGTGTACCTTTCTACAAGACCTCACTTGGCGTGTACATTTCTACATCTCTGATTTATCTACTCGACAACTCAATTTGATTGAAATTGACAAACCGAGATAACAGCTGTGATGATGGACACGACAATATCTATATCCCAGACCACACATATCCGTTGATATATATACAAATGTGTATAATAGACAGTGACCGTGCCTTATAGATAGTATTTAATATAAGATGTTTGAAAGTAAATACAAGAACTAACACCTGTACTAATACTAAACTACGGCTATTTTATGTTTTCTCTCACTAAAATACTAAACCACGGCTATTATATACTTTCTTTAACTAAAATACAGATGAAAGCTACATTGTCCAGTTAATAAATTGCCATCGGCACCAATATTTGGTTTACTAATATCCCCAACATAGTTTCATTCTGTCAATAATTCTGAGAAACATTTTTATGTGATTACGGTTTTGTTGAAATGAACCGATTTTGTTTTTAAAAAAATATTGTCACTTGATTTATTTTTTATCATTTATTTTATTTGTGTTGGGTACGAAATATGGTTTGGCTAATACCATTTATGTCTTTAAGGATTTTATATCGCTTACTAACAGTTAGTAATGTTCTCAGACAGGGTGGAGTAGGAACCTTATATATATTTATACAATATTATTGTTTCTTCCAAGTTTATATTTGCCAAAAGAACTTTTGAACGTGTCTATATTTATTATATGATATACACCCGTACTTTACTCAAACATCTTAAAATACTTCAACCTTTCTCACGTATTCCTAATAAAAACATAGTTTATTTGTTAGATACAAATATCCGATCCTTGAGGTATTAAAATAGATATAAAACATGCTGATGAAATACACTTATGTTGAGAAAAAAGTGAAGCGATATTTCTTCATACATTGGATATATTCATAGTAATTGAACTCAGTGTTAAATGCGATCACTTAACTCTTAAAGGAGGATGAAATATACACTTTAGATTGATACATGTCACTTTATTAAAAATCTACACAGTGGCACCAATAATTGTCGCAATGAATCGATAGTAACCGTTTTACTAATCGCACCGTCACGTTTTCTCATCCGTCGTGATTGCTACTCGCTCCTTGAGAAAGGGGTGACAAGGCGAGTTATAGGCTGTAAGCGCCTAAATATAATAAGGAGCAAAAACGCCATGTTTGTTCTTCGTGGTATGAATGTAAAATAGGTACACGATGAACATGGTCTAATGCCATGATGCCTGTGATTAATCTGTCTCCACGTCAGACTAGTAGCTCCCTAATTAATCCTATTGTCAATTACGTTTAATATACGTCCACTTAAAACTGGAAGGCTATTTCACTCCTATTAGCCATAATTCAGAATCGATGTAAATTTCTTTACCGTTACCAGCTCGGCAAATATTTTCTATTGCCCGAAACTATATTTGCTTAACTTCACATCTCTTCAGCCACATGTATTGCAGGTTTTTCTAACCAATTTCTAAGGCACTTTAGACATTTTATGTACATAGAAAATATTTAGAATATAATATTCTATTCTAAATATAGTTGCATACACATGTTATATTACATACACAGATGGCAGAAATGGAATCTATTTAGAGTTATTTTAGATCAATTTAATATGATAATATGTTTTTAGACATGACTTTTGCATACTCTTGTTTATCTAGAATATAGATTTATAATTATACATTATCTAAATACTGTGTTAGAACGAATGATTGCAAGTACATGTAACAAATTGTCATCCAGTATTTACTTTTATTATCTAACTGATTTTCCTCTGAATAAAAAATATGGCAACAATAATTTTTGTGAATCAAAGAAGAGAAAAGGAGGTGAATCTAAAGTCTCGTTGATACAACTTTTAGGTCGTCATTTTTAGACTGACATTAGTTTTTAATGTGCATCGGTAGGGAGACACTTCATCAATATACTATTGTCAAGGGTGGGCAAGTGGGAAGTGGGCTTGATATATCCCAAGATTCATCTTGGCCCACGAAATGATTAGACTGTTGGAAACTTTTATCTATAGTTAATTTGCTAACCACTAGACTACCTCTGCCCGCTCGATGAGCTAATCCAAGTGATTTGTACTAAATTTTCCAATCCGCCGATTTTATACTTATTTTCTTGAAATTCGAAAAACTGTGTGTTTATATTTATATTTTTGGTTTTGACATACTCATTTTAATAATAGATATCACAGTTGCCTACAAGTAGTTATATGGCAAACACTTTCCCCTGTTTTATAAATGTCTACAACTCATCTACTTCCGTTAACATTTGTAGAGAGAATCCTCAATGGACGATATTTTTAGCATATAGTACTGAAGTTAGGTATTACTGAGCAGTGACGGAACATACACCAATAGTAAACAGTACATGTACTGAACTTAGTTTTTTGAATCAGATTTAACGTATATTTCCACGTTATTCAGGCTAATCAAACTATACCGTTGAACAGTTTTCAAAAGCAGTAAACTATTTCTCCTACTAAACGATGTTATAATTTGTTCCTAGCAGTATGACCCTTAAAGAAATATACATTAAAATGTAATACGGGGAGATCAAAGTCCATTCTGGTCCATCGAAATGCAATGTTTTTGTTCCAGATTATATAAAATGTACTAGATGGTGTCATTGATATATAAAATGGTAGAATAAAGTAACCCCGCAGTGAAGATAATATAGCAATATTATAGGCTGACCGCGTGCCAATAAATCTCTCCTAATTATAAATAGTAATACCTTAATTTATTTATTATCTGCAATTGACGCTAACAACATCGCACTAAGAGCCTGTAAATTTATGCATATTATATTATTAATTTGTTAATTAATAACCCTAGTAGCTCTCATTCAAAAGGTGATCGAATGTACTATATTATACATATCCAAACCAATTCATTCATAAATTGTAACTTTGTATATAACCTTCTGTAACATGTATGATTGCATCATTGCTTGATAACGATGAGAGTAACCTTACTGAAACGTTGCAGTTAAACATACATTAATCAACTCTCGATGTCATCGTTAGCCTGCGATGTTTATTGGATTAGGTTCCGATTAGCTGTTCGACTTCCATTCATGATTTAATCATGAAATGAATAAAGGAGACTATGTTTGGGGTTTTTTTTTATCGTAACGACTTTAGTAATGATGATGGAGGCTAGGCCGAGAATTAAAATGCTAAAATCTCGGTTCAGAGTGGATTAATTTGATTGAAATTTTCAGTATCTAGTTTTAAACTATTATAGTGAGAACTGCCAGCTCTTTATCTAATCTCCCAAAATGTATCTTTAATAAACCTAGTGAATGTTATCCATAAAGCTGCCTGTTATTATATATATCGCTTTCACTGAAAGTTAACTTTTCCAATGTTTAAAGGTAAAATCTACTTTTATTTCATAAAATAATTGACATGCACAGCTACCGTTTGCGCCAAATTTAAAGATGATATCATGATACAATTTGGCACTTCTGTTTAAAGTGTTTTAATGCATAGGGATTGTTTAAATAAACAAGTACATACCTTATTTCGTTTCGTGATTTATACTTCAATGACCCCAAATATGACAAAAAATTTGAAAGACTAAAAAAAAAAAAAAAAAATAACGAAACAAAGGAGTATACGTGCTTAAATAAGCTTGGTTAAAAATAATTATAATTTCTTTTATTTGCAAAATGGTTAGCTTCGAAAATGAGAAGAGAAAGGGGTTGTAATTCCAGGGTGCTTGTCCCATCTCCAATTAAGTAACACATTAGGCACAACAAAAATCAAATTTATTTATGAAAAATAAAAATATTGACTGATCGAATTAAGGCCACGTGTTCTTGTTCAACTCGGATATATGTATGTAATGACATGAGATCGTGAAGTTGGCAAACTATTTTGTTTTCAATTTGTCCGAGAGATTTTTACATAGTAAACTATGTTTATCTTACATATCGATTGAAAGATATGTATCGCTTCTAGTTTACAAAAACTCACGTCTTAATAGCTTTAGTTTTTTCATCAAATAGAGAGGAGGAACAAAGAACAATGAAGTATGTGTAGATAACAAAAAAAAAAAAAACAAAAAAAAACGAGAACCCGTACTCATAAATAGATATATGAGACAAATGAATGAATTTTTAATATTTACCACTTACGACTTTGTAATAGTTTCGAAATTGATTCGATCTATATCTTTCAATATAATTCAATGAGTTTTTATTGTACGTTTGTGTTTAAAAGCGTTCTTTCAATTTTTTTCATAACTTCTTCCTTTCAGGTTAGACAAAATTGATTATTTCAATTTTAGGTTTATCTAGTAATGTATGCATGGGTTTAAAAGTTATATTTCGAATTTTATTTTTCTTATTGAAAAGTTATTTAAATAATATAATTTCGTTTCAGGTTACATAGTCAAGAACAAAAGCGACAACTACATAGACTTGGGGGACCCAACACATCTCATGATGATATGACGTCACCATCAGACGACGACGATGATTTAGATGACATAGACTGTCTTAGTGATTCTAGAAGTGAAACAAGTACCCCGTCGACGAGCACAGAACACCATGACGTAGTGCATGCAACTTGATGATGAAGTGCACAGATTATCGTTGATGAGCGAAGGAACACAAGTTTACGACATCCTCTCAGGTATCGTGTGCTTTTGTCGTCTGCACTGATAATGTGACGCGAGTCATGAACCTTTTTAAAAAAACAATTATAAAACCTTGTGAATTGTGAATATTACGTAGAAGGTTTCTGTGTATTGTTGATAAGCTAGGACAAAGTGCTAAAATTATTCGTATTTTGAAAGAAACCAACAAACAATATTGAACGACCTATTTCGTCTATATCAATTTAAAAAGCCGTTTTATTTACGCTGTTAGTGAATGTGATGTTAAGTTTTTTGTACATAGTTAATCAAAATGATGTAGACGAAATATATAGTCAGCAAAATCATTTTTTGGAAAAAAAAGGAGAAAATTACAAAAATGAAAGTGCGAGCTACAACGAGAACGATGACGTCAAAAAAAAAAAAAAAAAAATGAGACGATGCAGCATAATTGACAACAAAAAAATGCAGACTACTTAATTTATATACCAGTATATTATTTGTCTTTTTACTTATAATTCATTATGTCTAAAATGGGCATAAAATGTGATACGAACTTTCTATATTATATATGGGACGAGATAGCACCCCGAACCGAATACTATGGGACAACAGCAGAAGTATGGACAATTATTATTATAATCATTTATTCTTGTCTTTTGAATCAAATTAATTTAAATCGTTTTTTGAATTTTCAATCAAGAATTTCTTTAATGTGAAATTACTGCCTACTTTCTTTTTCTGAAAGAGGCGCCCTTTGTTTCATATAAAAAAAAATACTACATTGCACCACTATCTTGTGAAATCCAATAACTTTATAATTATAGTTAATTGTTTTTGTTTATTTTTTTTTAAATTTCTGTGCGAGGCAACAGTTATTTTTTTTTTTACTTCTAGAATTTTTACCCAAATCACTAGTGACTTTATATTAAAATGCTACGTGTTTTTATGTATACGTTGTTCATCTGGATATTTTTCAGTTCTGTTATTAAAATATGTTATTGAATGAACTGATTGGTTGTACTCTTTTATTATTTAAAAGACACAAAGGGGAACTGAATTACATTTGTGTCAAAGAAATGATTCCTATTATTTGTTGCACTGGATCACAAGGCTACGTCTTCATTAGTAAATACCATCTCCCTCATACAGAACATTGCTTAAAGTGTCTTATATCAAGCACACAAACACCAAATATGCATTTATTTCTCTTTATTATTATATAAATAATATAAAAATCGTGACCCTATAAGACTGTTACTCCAGAAATCAATTAGATGTTTTTCCTCTTTCCCCCATTTTACCTACTGCTCTGTGAAAAATAATTATTCATTTTAATAGTCACGTATTAAATCAAATCAGCCCAAATAATAATCTTAATGCATAAGTACTACGCTAATTTGTTTCGTAAAATTTGATTACCCACGCCCACTTACATAATGCTGCTATTTGTAAAGGAATTCAATCTTTGTACTGGTGAGTATAATTAATAATTTTTCAATAACCCGTATATTCCCAACATTCCCAATTCATTATTTTACATTTTTAAAGAAAAATATCCTCAAATATATCGATCATTTATATTTGTAATTAATCTATATATCAGAAACATTTTTCAGAACACAAAAGGTATCGAGGACAATAAATGATTAAATCTTGGATCAAATAGTGCCAATTACTCCTTAGCAAATTATTAGAATTAATTTCCTTTGTACGAAATACTTAAGAGATTTTCCGCGATATATTCATGTCTTAGGAATCACCCCACATGTTCGAAGTATAGATTTTATTCTTATTGTTAAATAATTTATTTCTATATAGAAGAAAAATAATGATCACTTAAATAATGGCAGTAACTACAAATACAGGGCTATAATTAGTACATCTTTTATAATTCGACACCCTATTATCATAATCGTATACCAGTTCGTCATGTAACGTTCGTATATACAATTAAAGATAGTAATTAACAACTTTCTAAAATGAATTAATAAAACAGTTAAACCGTACCAATACCCGATGCTGTCTAATTAAAGACTTGGAAAAATAAGAAAACTACCAATATCTGTGTTAACTGTGATTCAGTATGGGTTAATACATTTTAAAATGGAAGGAAAGAAATAATACATTGGAGTACTATATAGTTGTTTTTTAGTCGTCGATATTTTCTATTCATTAAATTACAAGTTACATATAAATGAAACAACAACGACGCATTACTTTTAAGGACGAAATTGAATTACGTTTCGGTGTGTTTGTTTTTATGTATTCCGAATTATATATCTTTTAAAAAAAACTACTTTCATCTATTGTAGAGTTGAGGGTATCAAGAATGTTATAATTGCAAACTTCGTGAATTATTCACATTGATGTATTGCGAGCTGTAAGATCATTTAAATCATTCAGACACCCCGGGGAGTCATTTGAACTTGTATAGTCTTCAATCAATTGATTGTGGAAGCATCTCTTCATAAGTGCGAGTAGATAAACTGAATAATTAAAAGTATCTTCCAAAATTCAATATACGTAAAGAAATAAAACTGACTTTGTAAGCTGTGTTCTGTGGCTCTAGAATAACCGAGTTAATAGGACTCGTTTCTAAACAAATAAACCTGCGTTAAGCCAAGCAATTAGTGAGAAAACACATGCGTTCCTGGTTGTCTATCGGCAGTCTAATCTGGACTTTGAAGCAATAAGCCCACCCCTCTAAACATGTGTGGTCTTCCCTTGTCTCTATGTAACATAAGAAATAAATCTATTAGAAGGTTGTAAAGAAACAGCAGTCTTGTTAGGGTTTTAAACATCATGGAATCTACGGGGAGTAAATGGAGAAGTGCCATACTCTGAAGACTGATAAAAAAACATCTTAGTTTCAGGAGGTAGATTAACAAAGTCTGATGCCCTGGCGGTACAATGACAAAGCTTTGGAAGTACCAGCGAGTAATTGGACCCATATCGATGCCGAAACTGTGCAAAAACCAAACCACAAAAACATCTGATGGGTATTTGGGTGCCGACAAATTTCTTCACATTCCTGATATTACTGGAGCTTAATCTCTTTGATTTAAGCCAAAATAAAGTCTTTAACTGGATTGATCTGATGTGCTATAGAGAATTAGTCGGTGTCGGTTTGTTTACTAATACTAGTTTCATATATGGCTTAGGCCCATTGCTTCTAAAATCGATTATGCCTTAACATTGGCTGTATCTTCGGGCCCAGATCAAATAATCTAGTCATTTAAAGGATCTTGATGTTCTTGACTAAAGTTTATAATAAACTAAAGAAGGCGCAGTGACGGTGATGGAATATTGACGTTTCATAATTCTAGTGATTATAAACGACATTTCATTACATCCGTATTTTGCTTAACAAATTGTTTATAGGATCGGGTTTGAGGTACATGTAACCCCAAAAATGAAGGGTGATGAATACATTAAATCTTATTGGGTATATCTAATAGATCGAGTTAAATTAGAAACATCCTCCAAATATATCGCTAGCTTGCTATATGACTTATTCTGTTGACACGATAATTGAGAAAATTATTCAAAATTTGGGAAGATGTTCTGGGTATTATAAGAGCGCAAATCACGTGAACAATATCCATTCAAATTCTAAGTGACAGCAATTTTAAATGGAGATGTTCATTTCTAATATGTGTATTTAAACCAATATTCAGAGCATAAAACGTAGTAATTTCACGCCGGCTTCCTCTATTGTTAAAATAGTCCCATTGTTGTCGTCTTCCTACATTTTATATTATGTAGGTATCACTTTCATATCGTGTTAGCTTTGTAAAACATACTCTAACGACAAACCTCTCATAAACCTCATTAAAACATGTCAACCGTTTTTCGTGTGGAGCTGAGGAAGTCCACTTTGGCGGGAAGACTTTTTTTTCTCTTGTCAGGTGTCAGCGTGCTATTGCAGACGACAAATTAATACAGTCAGGGTGTATTCAATTGTCAATAAACACCAAATCATTTCCCTAGCCCCTTTTCTTCTCCCGCTCGGCAGGCGAGAAAAAAGATCTATTCATGTCGCTCAATCGTTTAGCTCGAGTGTTTGTTCTCGTCTACAATCTTGTTCGCAAACTCTCTGATATTATCTCGGCTTAACCGACCCCATCCCGATTCAGCCATTTTAATCACAATAAGCGTAAAATACTACAAAATGCTCCAAATTAATTAAGTGCCCAAGGTCCATTCTAGCAGAAAATGTGTTACTCGGCTCTGGACAATAAGCTGACCACAGGGAATCGCTGGTGGTCAGTTGCCCTGTTGGAAGTTTTTCAGCCTTTTTGGCCAGCAAGTAGCGGAACACTAGCAGTGAAGGTCCGCTCTACATGGAGTACATCTGAGGGTTATTGGTCTCTATACTATGTTAATTGTAAGAGGTGTCGAGAATTGTAATAGCTAGGACTTGTTTGACTATTCATCGAGGACTTTTGTCATATATAGGCGAATAAGTCTACTGTGTTTATTGTGTTATTTTTTTTCTAACGTGGATCATACCCCCTATGGCCGGATGTGTCACACTCGGCCATGTTGTGATAGGCGGAAGAATCGATGACATGTACGGGTGACATTTAGTATAGGTGGGAAACAATACTATATAGATAAGTAGTCATCAGTTCACAGCGGGCTTTAATAACATAATTGGGTTGAGCTGTCCAACTACATCGAATGTTGTTTCGGTATTTACAACACATATCTAGTATCCTATGGTTTCAAACTATGATTAAACTATTTCTATAAATTTTCTAAACATCCCAATACTTATCTGGCCTATATATGTATATGATATACACAAATGTAACTTACACTGCATTATTTGGATTCATCGTAATTACCTTAAGTTCTTGTCCAAACTATTCAAACAATTACGATTACATTTTTACAACATTTTTGGCGTCCAGAACCACCCTTTAAATTGTAGCTTTCCCGAGAAGAGACCCATTTAGCCTTCCAGGTTACCCGAGATATATATTAAACAATTTAGCAGTACGCCTATCATCCTCTTTGTAACAATCCAATAAAACCACGGCAATGTTTTTCTTCTCTAAAGTTCACTGAAACTACGATAAAGAACTGGGAGTTCTCGCTATAATAGTTTAAAAAAAAAAGATAAAGTAAAGGGAATATTTTGAAAATTTCAGTCAAATTACTTCACTCTAAGCAGAGAAATTCTCACTTCATTATCACTGTAGCCTCGATTTTCATTGTTACCGTTGTTACGATAATAAACAAAGTCTCGATTCCCCATTCAATTCAAATCTGTTTAAAATCGGAAGTATCCGATGGCATCTTGTCATGTTAATAAATGTCTAATTAATAGTACATATAATATTCAAAGCTCAAAAGAAGGACCTGAAACAGGCAGATTTAGCTCTTGCATAATGTATGTTTAATGGACAAAATTTCTCGTGTCTCCAAACTTCGAAAACACGGGTCTGGAGATTGCGCACAAGAAATTGTTTACAGAGTATGCGCGCTCATCATTACACGCATCCAATCGTAAGTCTGACCACAAACGATCACAATTGTCTTTTGCAAGAAGATTCTGATTTTATTTTTGCTTGCCTCAGTTTCATTGGCTTTAAATTTTATTAGATTCTTTCT